CGAGACCCTGTCTCTAAATAAAATATAAAAAAGGGCTGGGGATGTTGCTCACTGGTTGAGTGCCCCTGAGTTCAATCCTGGTACAAAAAAAAAAAAAAGGAAGAAAGAAAAGAAAGAAAAACATGTCCATTTTAAAATAAGCCTCAGTGGTAGAGCAGCGAGGACCATATTCAAAGCATAAGGTGGGGGCTAGGGTTGTGGCTCAGTGGTAGGTAGAACCCTTGCCTAGCATGTGTGAGGCCCTGGGTTCAATTCTCAGTACCATATAAAAATAAATAAAATAATAAAGGTTCATTGACAACTAAAAAAAAATTTTAAAAAAAGCACAGTTGGATCATTATTACATTCCTGCCTCATTAGCTTCCTGAGTAGCTGGGATTATAGGCATGTGCCATTACTGGTCTATAATCTTAATTTTTTTTCCCTAAAAAAAAGGATAAATTAAGCTGAGCGCAGTGGTGCATGCCTGTAATTCCAGTGGCTTGGGAGGTTGAGGCAGGAGGATTATGAATTGAAAGGCAGCTTCAGGAATGGCGAGGCACTAAGCAACTCAGTGAAACCCTGTCTTTAAATAAAAAAAAAAACAGGGCTGGGGATTGGCTCAGTGGTTAAGTAGCCCTTGGTTCAATTCTCAGTACCCGCTCCCCACAAAAAAAAAAAGCTACAGAGTGATACTGGCCAAATTACAATGTTATATTGTGTACATGTGTGAATGTATAAAAATAAATCCCATCATTAGGTATAACTATAATGCATCAATAAAAAATACAGAAAAGTTTATAAAGGAGAAAAACTAAGAAGGGTGAACTGTGTGTGTGTGTGTCCCCTCTAAATATAAATCAGCACTGAGTATCAAAAATTGGAATCTGGTAAACTGTTAGTGGCAGAATAATAGTGATGCACTTATGGGTATTCTTTGTGAAATTCTTTCAGTTTTGCTACATGCTAGAAAAGTTCCACAATAAAATATTGGGGAGAAAGTTCACTTACCTGGAAAACCGTCTTGGATTAGGAACAGGACTTGGTGGCAACCCACTGCTACTCACAAACATTTGTAGGGATGGTGAAAAGCATTGCTAGAAAAATATATTTAATATTAAAATATTTCTAGTGTTCCAATCTTCAGAAAGTTCTTTTGAAAATGACAGAAATAATGTCCTCAAAATTGCTTAGCTTTCTATGTGTGAAATATACATATATATACATTTTTTTGAAATTGTTATCATAGGTTTTCATTGATCTTCCCCTGAAGTTATTAGATACTTTAAAAGTGAGGTGATTTGTATACATATGTTTTAGAGGGTAAACACTGTGTAAAAGATAGCTCATATCTTGTCAATGATCCTACCTTTCCAAATCCTCGGGTGGGTGAAGGTGCTGGAGAAACTGGAGTAAAGTCAATCCTCTTAGGAGAATATAATTTCTCCGACTTGTCAAAATCACTATCACTCTGTAAACATAAAGTATTATCTCCTCATAACAATTCAAGATACCACAGCTCTCATTTACTACTATAACACATTTACATTTTAAGAGTAGAAATGTAGGGCCTCCAATATTACTCTGCTGGGAGAACAGATTAAAAACAAGAATCAATTTATCAATTTAGAAGTAGAAAGGACAGAGGCATATGAAAAAATTAACAAAGCCAGTGAACAACACATAAAGTTTTTTTTGTTGGGGGTGGGGAGAGGGTATCAGGGATTGAACCCAAGGGCATTTAACCACCGAGCCACATCGCCATCCCTTTTTATTTTTAAGACAGGGTCTTGCTAGGTTGCTTCCAGCCTTGTTAAGTTGCTGAGGCTAGCTTTGAACCTGCTATCTTCCTGTCTTAGCCTCCAGGGCATGCACCACCACACCCAGCAAGATTTTTAAAAAATAAAAAACAAGCAAACATGGGAAAACTTTACCAGACTCAAGCTCTCATCCCATGATTGGCTTATCTGCATTGCAGTTTGCACTTCCCTAAAACAAACAAAGCAAAACCATTAGTGTTTACAAACAAGACATATCAGAGTAGGCCCTGCTCTTTCAAAGCACTAACCTCTCATGTGCAGTTTCTCTATTCATCATATCCAGGCCTTCTTCCTACAAGGACAAATGTAAAAAAAAAAAATAGAATTTTCATCCACACCGTTCTCTATTTCAAATAAAATCAAAAGACTTCTCAACCTCATTTGACAGAATCACAAGGGAGCAGAACTAACGTTCTAAGCCTGTCCACCATGCCACATGTCTATTTTATCTGCAAACTTGAAAAATTTTTAATCTGTCTCCAACTACCCAGAATTACATCCTGGCCCATTTTTAAGATTTAAGTCTCTTTTTTATTTTTATTTTTTGGGGGTGCCGGGGATTAAATCCAGAGGTGCTTTACCACTGAGCCACATCCCCAGCCCTTTTTGAGACAAGGTCTCGCTAAGTTGCTTAGGGCCTCGCCAAGTTGCTGAGGCTGACTTTGAACTTGCGATCCTCCTGCCTCAGCCTCCCGAGCCGCTGGGATTACAGACGTGTGCCACCGCGCCCGGCTAATATTTAAGTCTTAAAAATCAAAATCAAAATCAAAATGTAAAATCCAAAAAACTTCAGATCTGAGCTAGTAAGTAAAATTTACCCTTTTGATTTGAAGCAGTCTGCTACTAGGAATACGATTAGGTGAAGATGACAGCAACTGGAAAGAAAAAGTAAACATTTACTATTTTCTGAATCACAAAGCAGCAGTCTGCTGTCATTATTGGTGTACCAACCTCTTTCTAGATAATTTTTCATATTCTTCTTAGAAATTCAGCTCTAATAAATCCTGAACATTAATGCACTAGAGGCAGTACATTCAGTCTTTAGAAAGTACACCAGGTGTCCAACCTCAAAGCACCATCTGTTGCTAGACAGGCACTGACTTTAGCACTTTCCCCAAATGAGTGTAGAGCTATATAAATGCAGGGGAAAAACACTCTTGACCATGGAAACATCCATTACCCCCCTTATCTAAAATAAGGAACATATGAAAATGGAAAAAAACAATGTTATTTTTTATTAGCAATGTACACACAGAGAAAAACAGGCTAACAAGCACAGTGTAATAGTTTGTCTATGATTAATGTTCTCAAAAAGACTACACTAAGATTTTGCTTCTATGACCTAAATCAACGCTGGGATTTAATCAATAATGCTACCACCACAAATCTTACCAAAGAAAAAGCATTGTAGAAATGCAAGGTATACCTTTAAAATAACTGTTGATTTCCCTTAGATCCTCTCCCTTTTAATAACACAAAGCTAAAATGATTTGGGGGCCAAATTATGTTCCTTCAAAATAATCGCAATCTGGCCACAAAATATCAGATACAATTCATATCAACAGATCTTAGTTTTAATAGCCATAAGGTAAACAACTATAATTCATTCCCTAAGAAATGCAAGTGAATCTTTAACACTACAAAACCAAATAAAAAATTATCCTGTTTAAGAGGTCCTATGCCATTAAAACTTTTTTTGAATAGGAATGTAGTGATTGGTATAAAATGTTTATTTTAGGAAAAAGCTAATTCAAGTAAAATTTTCAAGTATTATCCACTGAAATATGATTTTTACCTCAAATGATATCCCTTCATTACCATACCTTTCTTTTTTCTTTCCTAGGTTTTGAAAAGAGAAAAACTTCACCAGTGAAATCCTTTTTAAAAGTTCTTTTTTTCCTGTTATGAAAGTAATAAGTATTTACTGATGAGCACTTAATAAGGTCATCTGAACAATGCGAAGCTACTAGGCAAGCAGATAAGGCAGAAAGAGTATAACAGGCAAACGTGGAAGAGCACACCCATGTCAGTCAGAGAACCAAAGAAAGCTGACAACCCGACTGTGGCCAGTCAGAAATGCAGATGCTACATCTACATTATAACTTGTTAATTTTAGACAGAACTAGAACAGTGGACCAGAAAGAGAACAGCAAAGCTGTGTCCAGAATCAGAAACAAGAGTAATATATCAGCTGGAAAAAGAAAAGCCAGGAGATTTAAGGAGGTGCTGGCTAATGATGCAAAGGAAAGCAAAGAGCTAAGGTGGGATAAGGAATGAACCGCTGGACACTGGCAACTTAAGTGGGCATAGGTGACATTTTCAAGGACAGTTTTTTAACAGAGGTATGGTAGGAGTATTAAGATTACAAATTGAGAATAAATCAGGAGACAAGGAACTGCAGGCAGCTGAATGTCAATTATGCTTTGAAAAGGAGCCCTGGAAAAGAAAGGAGAGACCTACAAAAAGAAAACACTTTGTTTTCCCCATATTAGATGTGAGTTGGGAGAAGAAAGTGGGAGGAAAAGACTGATGGCACAAGACAGAGGAGATAATAGTGAAGTGACAGGAGAGTCAGAAAATGTAAGAACCATCAGAGAAAAGCATCCTACGTGATGATAAAGACATTTTAAGGAGAAGAAAGTTGACATTTATACAAGATATGTGACTGTCTTCTCTGTAAAGTAAGAAGGGTCATCAGTTAGAAGAGAAAGTGGTGAGACAGTATACCAGCAGTCTAAAATCAAACAAATGTAGAATATGGCTTTGGAGAACAGCATGGAGCCAGCGGCACCTCAAACCCCACATGCCCCAAAGAAATTCATCCGCTTCCCCCCCAAACTTCCAATTCTTTCAGTTTCTCTACTCCTCATTACCATTCCCAGGGTCATGAAGAAACAATTTCAGTCACTTGGGAGTCCTCCTTCCTGCCCTTATACCCAGTCAGTTAAAATCATTAAGACTCTGCTTTTCCCCACCTCTTTCACCGTCCGTTTCTTTCCATGTCATTCGCCAACATTTCACTCTTTGCAGGTTACTATGGGACACACAGAAGTACATTAAGTTTTACACAGCATCGCCCTTTCAAGGTTGATGGAGTGCTTTAAGAGGCTAACACAGAAGGGTAGAGGAAACCTCCATATGACCCAGACAAGAGATTGCAAAACTCCTCTTTGGATCCTATCTGGAGTTAGAGCACCATATAAAAATAAAGATGTTGTGTCCACCAAAAACTGAAAAATAAATATTAAAAAATTCTCTCTCTCTCTCTCTTTAAAAAAATGTACAGAGTATACTGTGATATAATGCATACAGTGTAATTGATATCATGATAGTTGAGGATGCCTGTGCACAGGAGATATAAGAATTAAAGTGGGTTCTGAAGGACCAGAAACTAGAAAGGAGGGGTAGGGTACAGTAGCAAAATGATCAAGCAAAAGCAGTGAATCACCAGAATTCCTTCAGAAAATAAGGTATTTGGGGACAGCCAGAGGAAAGTATTTGTCAGTGTGAGAGATGAGCCTAGACCGGAATTGTTAAGAATCTGCACATCTTACAAAAGATGCAAGTGGGGCTGGGGATACAGCTCAGTGGATAGAGTGCTTGCCTCCCATGCACAAGGCCTTGGGTTCAATCCCCAGCACCAGAAAAACAAAACAAAAGAGGCAAGTGAAGTGTACAGAGGCAAATTCATTTTCCCCTTCTTTTCTGTGCTACTCTTATCAGGTGCACAGCTGTATAACATGTAAAAATATTTCTCAAGTAGCCAGTAAAAATACTTAAATTTCCTAATATCCTCAGGGAAGGAGGTGAAGCGAATCAAATCTCTAGATAGCTAACATCTCCCCTTTAAGTATTTTGAGCCATTCCAGCTGAAAATCTCTCAAAAATGTGTTATATTTCCCCCTTTCTCAGAGTACACCAAATGGAATGACACCGAAAGATTTCTACTCTAATCCCAGCTCTGCCACTTACTATTGTGTGATTTGAGTCTTAACTGTTGCTGCTTTTCATTGGCAAAAGCATCTTTTGCTCTGCCTACTTCAGAGAGGTTTTTGTAAGAATTAAATGCCTGAAAGTACCTTGCAAAGTGTAAAATACCATACAAACATAGGTATTACTGGAATTTAAGAAAAGTCTAATGACCCAGGGATCCTTAAGAACGTCACTATACTGCTTTATACAAGTGAAACCTTCAGGGAGTATCAACAGGCTCTTAGTCCTTCTGCCAAGTCACAAACTTTTTTTTTTTAATAATTTCTGTTTTTCAGTTTTTCCTTTTCCTCCCTCACTAGCAGCTATTAGTATACCTTAACACAAATGTAACTCTTCTGATTTGCTGCTTCTCATATGCTACTGGGTTGGAAGCTTATTATAATTGTGCATAAATTTTAAATGATTCAGAGGTCAGAGAGGCTCTCCTATAAATAAACCGATGAACCTTTGTGCACAGACTGGAAATCTAGTTCAGCCATTTAGATGTCTGTGTGCTTACATCTCAGATGTCTTCCAAAGCACTGAAGCTGATGGAAGAGTGAGTTCTATATGTGAAGTGCTACCATATAAAAACGTTATAATTTCTACTGGACCAACCATCTAATAAGGTGATCTCCAACACAGCAGCTCTGGCCATAGAGAACAATCACAATCAGCATCATCTGACAGATAAGTGTCAGAAACAAACACTTTGTGTAAGTGATTTTTACATCCTAGGAAAAATAAAGACCACTATTTTCAGCTATAATTAGAAGTTAATCCCGGACTTATCTCACAACTGTGATGCAAGTAGTGATAAATAACAATAAATAAATTTTTAAAATACAAAAGTCCACAGCAATTGTACCAAAGCTGAATGGCCAGAGCAAAAGTAGTAAACAAGACAGTTAAAATAAATCTCTAAAACCAATTGTGCACAGCACATAATTTCCAGGAAGAACTATATTTGGAAGTATTGTCTCCAATCCAAATCACTTCAGATACTTACTTTGATACTTACCAAACTGTGACGGCTCATAATTGTTGTGCTATTCCTCCGAGTTCTAAATGTGTAAGGCTGAAAAACCTGTGAAAGGTCACTGAAAAGTAAAAATAAAACAATTAATGTCTTCTAGAGAAAGATCTTCCAAATATGTTAGCATCAATTCCGTAGTTCACAGTGAAATATTCAATGGTTCCTCCTTTCTTCCAGAGGATCCTCCGTCCTCCTGGCAGAGCTGCCTGACTGGTGTGCTAGGGATTACAGGTTTGCCAAGATACTGATCTCCTCAGTGGTTGGGGGACAGCTCTGAGCAATGTGGGGCGGAGCTACAGACTGGTTCATTCCAGCTGCTTCTGGTCAGAGCTACACCCCCAAACAGGTCCCCCCTCGGATGGCAGTAGTTCATCTGTATATCCCAGAGAACCACGAATACCACCATTTTCTGCATGTGCCATTGAGCCCTGTTCTACAAGAGAAGCCATATCAGCACATATCCCAGGACCACCCAAAGCAAGTGTCCTACCTGAGAATCAATGTTCAAATAAATGTACCTGCACTATTTTTTTGTTCAGGAGGCCTCTTCTGCCTCACATGCTCTCCTTCCTACCACTATCTGACAGAATCCTTCCTCTCCTTCCATGCCCACCTCAAACACCATGCCCTCATACAGGCAGGGCACAAGCCTCACATCATTCCACAAACCCAATTCAATCATTACCTCCTGTGAACCCAAGAACACACTAGGAGATGACATACTTCTTGACACCCACGTTACTTTATCTCTTTCCGTCTTCTCTTTTTGAAAGAGGGTCATTTCTCCAGGCTGGTCTTGAACTGCTGGGCTCATACACCACCATGCTCAATGAAACTTTTTTTTTTTCCTTTTTGCAATGCCGGGGATCAACCCTGGACCTTGGGCATGTTAGACAAGCACACTACCACTGGGCTACATCCCCAGCCCTGCACGCACACTAAGCAGATGCTCTATCACTGAGCCATGCCTCCCAGCCCCTACTTTACCTTTCATTAAAGTGTTAGCCAGTCAGGGTAGTGCACACCTGTAATCCCTGTGACCAGGCTGAGACAGGAGGATCCCAAGGCCAGCTCAAGGCCAGCCGGGGCAACATAGTGAGATCTGTCTAAAATAAATTAAAAAGGGCTGGGGATATAGTCAGTAGTAGAGTGCTTGCCTAATGTGTGAGGCCCCAGGTTCAATCCCTAGCACCACCAAAAAAAATGTGTTCCCTAGTGCTGCAAAAGAAAAGTGTCCTGTGTCTTAAACTTCTTGGTGTAGAGATGCTTTTTTATTTTAATATAATATCTCTGCAGTTCCTAGCAGAGTGCTGTGCCCACAATGAGTTCAAGAAGGATTTACAGAACTGGAATGAGCTTCAAAAGACCACTGAGATTGCCTATTTCTACTCTCCTAATTTTTAAGTGAAAAAAAAAAAAACACTCAAAAAGGTTAAATGACTCATTTGTGAGTGTGGCTAGTTAGTAAAAACTGGGACCAGGCCTGGTCTCCTTACCTTTTCTTTTATCACATCACATGCTACCTTCCAAGTACTTAAATCATTATTCAAAAAACAGTGTGTTTTTTCCTACATATGTGTAAAAGCAGGTCAGTAGGATCCCCTTAGTATCTAGCAATTGCTTGATCACCAGAATTTAAAAGACAACCAAAAGAGAAAACAGCTTATTCTTTTTTAAAATTTTTTTAGTTGTTGATGGACCTTTATTTCATTAATTTATATGTGATGCTGAGAATCGAACCTAGTGCTTCACACAGGCTAGTGCTTTACCACTAAGCTACAATCCCAGCCCAAAAAACAGTTTATTCTTAAAAGTATAAAATAAGACAAAAAGTCACTCCATCATTCCTTCAGTTTCAAAATTATATTTAATAAAAGAAAAAAGTAGACCTCTTTCCCCCCCTCAAAATACAGATGTTATAATCAGCTCAATAGACAAGGATTACCCCTTTCTTTGCCCTCACTGTGCTTGATTAATGTTTTTGGCTAATTGTATTCCCATTCCATTTTTTGGACCAATGCCATTTTTTGAAAGGATCTCATAAATTGGCTCTCTACCTAAGATGAATTGTCTACTTATAAAAGTGAAATGCAATAGGCTCAGGAGGTGAGCCAACCCAACCTTCACTATCACAAGATTCTACTTTAAAAATAGACCCTCTAGTGTCTTATTAAAAAAAAAAATCACACAAGACCCTGCCGCTAAAATTAAACGATCGACTCTTTCCATAATTTTCTCAAACCTCTATTCTCACTAATGTAAGTTACTAGAAACCTTTTTTTTTAATTCACTGAAATGCATTTCAGGCAGTTTTAGAATTGAAAAAGATTTCAACAAATCCAAATCACTTAATATGACATTAAAACACCATTTAATTAGAAGTTATTAGATAAATTGTGATTTATTAAAGCAAACCTCTGTTAATGCCAGGGTTCCTAAACCAAGCTTAGAAATAGCAGCTCTTAAGAGACAGGTGTCAAGTTGCAAGCCTAGTTCCAGGGGTTCAGTCTGACTTTCCCTGGTGTAAATTAGCCAGGACTAGCAACCTTTCAGAAGCTTTCTGTGATTTCTTTTAGAGTGAGGCAACCCCCAGGTGGGGGGTGGCTGTTTTTCCCCAAAAGGCCCAGAGTTTGAGGTCAAACTTTCACTCCACCTTGGGACTCCAGTCACTGTAAAGCAAACAAGTCCCCAACCCCTCTATTTGGACAGCCCAAATGAGCTCAAACTTGCATTTTAGGGAAGGAAGATTGCTTGCATGGGGTCAAGAAGCTTCTTAACCCCATATACCATCCTCCCCAGTTCTGCTCACCTGAGCCCATGGATCAGGGGAGCACTGTTGGATCTCCTCAGGGTGCCCCCATGAGATGTACCAGGCTCAAAGTCCAGCTCCATTTTCTCCTGAGCCATGTCGGAGACTTGCAGGTAGGCACAGCGGGCAGTGCTCAGCTCCTGGTGCTTAGCTATGGGCTCCCAAGACTCACTGCAGGACTGAGCTGCTGGGGACTGGCAGCTGGGGGCGGGGGCTAAGGGGCGGAGTCTTGGGGGCGGGGGCTAAGGGCGGAGAAAAGTAGGAGAGGAGGAGGGAAGGAGGATGCTGATGAGGAAGGGAGGCTGGAGGAGAGGGAGGGGAGAAGGATGGAGAGATTGTTGGAGGGTAACAGAATCAAGAAAGAGGATGAGGAAAAAAGAGAGATGGAGGAAAGACAAGGATGGAGGGAGGAAGAAAAGGGATGGAAAGAAGCTAGATGGAAATGCAGGACAGGATAAGAGGAGCAGGGCAGAAGGGGAAAGAAGAGGATGGGGGAGGGGAAAATGGGGGAATGGGAAGATGGGGGAAGGAGGGGGAGGGGGAAGAATGGGGAGCGAGGGAAGGATGGGAGAAGGGAGGAAGGGCGATGGGGAAGGGAGGATGGGGGAAGGGAGAGGATGATAGGGGGAAGGGTAAGGAAGACAGAGGGCAGGGGGAAGAGCACAGGGACGGGAAATAAGGATGAGGTGTGGGAAACAGGAGAGAGGAAGGGACACAGAGGAAGACGAGAAGGAGGGGGAGGAAACTAGGCAGCGGCGGAACTCATGCTTTCCCGCTGAGGACCATCAGCGGGGCTTGGCTACAGGTGCCGCGGTTGCCCGGGCAGCGGTAACACCGAGGACCTGTCAGTTGGGCAGGGCCTGGCAGGGAGACTTCGGTAGTTCCAGCTCCCCATACTCGGGGACTTGGTCCAGCCCCCCATGCTTCGGACACAGCCCTGGAGGCTCCTCAGCCCTGAGATCGAAGCTTCGCCCGTCCCTGCCCCCCTCCCGCCTCGAGGACTGGTTGGGGGTTCGATCCCTCTGCCGCCGCCGCGGGGCCTCCTCTTCCTCTCTTGGGTTCTAATGGCCCGGGGGGAACCCGATGGGGCCAAGACCAAAATCTACAACCTGCAGTCTCTTCCGCCTCCCACGCTTCGGAAGCGGGAGCCTCAGCGGGGCCAGTTCTTCCGCGTCCGGGAACCCATCGGGTCCTGCGCACGCGCCCGGCGGCCTCTCCAATGGGCCCGCGGGCACGGAGCATGCGTGACAGCCCCGCCCCTCGACCCTCCTTTAAAAGGGAGGAGCGTTTCCAGGGGGCCCGGCGCCTTGCTCAATGGCATTGGCCGGGGGACCCTGGCGCCCTATTTCGAAAAGAGCCAATAGTTAGAAGATGCTGGAGCGGCAGCTTTCAGGAGTTTGAACCAATATTCAAGGGAAACTGGGAGACACGAGATTTCCATGTTATTTAGTCCCCAATTTATACACTCCGACCTCTGAGATTCCCGCTCATTTCTTAAATCCCTCGTTTTTTTTTGTTCTTGTCTGAAGGGGATGATTTATATTTTAGATCATCCATTTGTATGTACATAGAAAAAAATTTTTTTTCTTCGTAATTTTTTTTCTTCGTAAAGCTTACGAAAATCCTAACAATCATAACTTGACTGTGTGAGTGCTGGAATTTTTCTTTATTAATTATCAAACACCTATGTAGCACTTACTCTGTGCTAGACAGTTCTGTACTGTAACAGCTGTAGAAATATTTTCTCACTTAATCCTCACCACTAGAATGGCTCTGGGAGTGAGAAGGCCATTGCATTGTGTTAATCATACATACCTAGAAAATACAGAACATAAAATAGTTATGAAATTAGTTTCAAAATTTAGCAAAAATAATTTTCCCTGACTCTTCATTTCAGTTGTCCCATATTAACCTTGCCTTGGCCTGAGCAGCTCCTGGGAATACAGGAGGGCTGTAAATAGGGTTTTTTTTTTTTTTTTTTTTTTTGGTGGTGGTGCTGGGGATTGAACCCAGGGCCTTGTGCATGCAAGGCAAGCACTCTACCAACTGAGCT